AGAGAGAGAGAGCACAGAGGGAGAGGGAGGAGCAGACTCCCCGCTGAGCAGGGATCCCGATGCGGGGCTCGATCCCAGCTGGGATCATGACCTGAGCCGAAGGCAGACGCTTAACGACTGAGCCACCCGGGCGCCCCTCACAAATCTTTTCTTAACCTTGGTGAGGTCTTTATGAAATTTTTATATGAAAATCACATGCATTGTTACATAAAGTCTCCTGCAGCCATTTGATTCTTTTTTCCTGCTTCACAAATTAATTTTGCAATTCATAGCTTACTATTCACAACTTCTTATACTTTGAATTTTTAATGACTAGCTCTCTTCCAGTTTTCTCACAGGATGTAATAGTAATAGTATCATAAAATTTAAAGCCCCAAACCGTCAAACCTACAGGTAGTTTATCTAGGGGCGCCTGGGTGGCTCAGTCAGTTAAGTGACTGACTGACTCTTGATTTTGGCTCAGGTCATGATCTCAGGGCCCTGGGGTGGAGCCTGTGTCCTGCTGCATGCTCAGTAGGGAGTCTGCTTAAGGATTCTCTCTCTCCCTCCCTCTGCCCCTCCCCCTGCACATGCACTCTCTCTCTCTCTCTCTCAAATAAATAAATTAAAAAAAAAAAAAGTTTGTCTATTTCCAGGATGTAAAAAAAAAAATTTTTTTTTTTTTAAGTTAAAACTTTTAGGACTGTTTTTATGATAACATACAAGCAAGGAAACCTCCATGGATCCTCTCTTTAGGGTAGGGGTGTGTGAATTGACTCTGAGTTCCCTCAGTTTGGGTCATGGCACTTTATCAGTGTGAACATACAAGGGCTGCTTGCCTCCCAGTGAGGGCCACAACATCTTATCAGCATCAGCATACTGGTATTGCCTGTTCTTCAGACTGCAAAACCTGCCACATGGGTGGGGTTAGTAGAGCCAGACTTTGTGCTAACTGTATGTAGGAGTCGTCGTTCAGGGCTTGCTAATTTACCTATAGCTAGTAATAGCAAGGATGTTCCCAAAATTAAATATAAAAATCCAGTGTTTTGGTGGCTTGATGACATCTGCTCCCATTACCGGGCTGCTTGCTGATCTTTTCACCACTTGACAAAAGTACTTGAACTGTTGTTTCCAAAGCGGAGAGAGCCTTAAACCTACAAGGCAACCAATGGACAATTATTTACTAACCCACAACTTAAAGATAATCAATTGGTTTTAATCCCTACTAGAAGCAAATGTGGGTATATATAATGTGCTCTGTACTTCTCTTTCCTTGTTGATTTTTTTTTTTTTTGAAGATTTTATTTATTTATTTGTTTGACAGAGCGAGACACAGCGAGAGAGGGAACACAAGCAAGGGGAGTGGGAGAGGGAGAAGCAGGCTTCCCGCTGAGCAGGGAGCCTGATGCGGGGCTCGATCCCAGGACCCTGGTATCATGACCTGAGCTGAAGGCAGAGGCTTAACAACTGAGCCACCCAGGCACCCCTCCTTGTTGATTTTTCTGCCAGTTCTATTCATTATTGAAAATGTGGAATTGAAGTTTTCAACTCTTGGTGAATTGCCTGTTTCTCCCTTGTTTGTGTTTTTACTTTTTTTATTTTAATGCTTTTAGGTGTTTTTACTTGTTTTATCTTTTTGTTGGATTGACCTTTTTATGGTTGTAAAATATCTCTCTTTATCTCTAGTAAGATGTGTTTGTTTTGTCTGGTAATTAGTATAGACCTTCCACGGTTCTCTTAGCTGCTGTGTTTGCCTGATATGATACCTTTTTTATTCTTTCACTTTCACTCTGTATCTTTGGATCTAAAGTATGTCTGTTGGAGACAGCATTTAGTTAGATAGGTTGTTTTTTTGTTTGTTTTTTTTTTTGTTTTTAAATCTAGTCTGACATTCTCTGTCTCTTGGATTAGTTTCATCCATTCACATTTAATGTTACTAATATAGTGGGATTTACATCTGCTGTTTATACTTTTTTTAAGATCCTGTGTCTTTTTTCCCTCCCTTAATATTTTTTTTGCATTAAGTGAATATTTTCTAGTGTACATTTTAATTTCAATGTTTTTTTCACTGTATATTTTGTGGAAGCACAAATTACTTCTAAAAATCATTTTTATCTATACCTTTAAAGGTGTTAAGCATTTAAAATCTGACTTATTATGCTTGTGATTTTAAACCAAACTAAAAGACTATCACTGGTACGGAGGTAGAGAAGAGGTGAAAATATGGGGCCCAGTGAGGTTTATTTGTTGTTTTTGAATTCTGCCAACCTTAGAGAATGTGTGTACCTGTGTGGAAGACCTAATCCCATAGAGACAGGTTGATAACCAGGAATAAAGGGAAGGGGAGTAGGATTTTATTTATTTTTATTTTTTATTTTTTTAGATTTTATTTACTTATTAGCATGAGCAGGGAGAGACGCAGACTCCCTGCTGAGCAAGGAGCCCGATGTGGTGCTCAATCCCAGAACCCTGAGATCATGACCTGAGCTGAAGGCAGATGCTTAACCAACTGAGCCACCCACATGCCCTGGGAGTAGGATTTTAAATGTAGAGATTTGGTAGGAGGAAAGTCAACTCTGTTACTGGAGATGCATGTTACATTTACAAGGGTGGGCTTTATAGATTTGATGATGGGAGGATGGCAGATGATGCTGAAATATAAGCAGCTGAGTTAGGGCAGGGGAGCATGTGTGTGGGTTGGAGTGGCTGGGGACCCGGTAGGAGAGAAGAGGTCTTAGAGAATAGGGGGCAATTCAGTAAAATGAAGTAGAGTTGCTGAGCAGTGTTAAGTTTGATGTTTGTGTTCATGAAATAAAATCCGTCTGCTGGCTTGTGTGATTTTTATTTTCCCCCCAGAAAACTTCAGCTACTGCTGTGCAGAGAAGGATATTCTTAAGTTCAGCCATACTTGGGGTTTGTCAGGTGAGTGCCATGGCTGTCAGAGGTGAAGGGTGATGATGGAGTGGGATGGAGATTTTGGCAAAAAGTTAATTTTTTCAAGAGAAATTAAAATAATAGACCATGCCAGTCTTGTCTCTGGTAATCTCCATTACAATATATTCTCAAAAGGTTTAATACTTGGGATTCAAAAGTAGAGACTATAGTCAGAAAAAAAGTCAGACAACTTTTGACTCCTTCCCTCTAACCAGGTAGTTCAGGGATGATTTTCCAGGCTTCAGTTTTCTTCTGTGCCAGCAAAGAAGAGAGAAGAAAAAAGTTACCCCAAATTACTCAAAGGTCGTTTGTCTTCCTACCCATAGGCTCTGCATTGGTCCTCCAGGGGTGCCCTAATGTAACAGACTGGGTGGCTTAAACAACAAATTTGTTTCTCACAGTTTTAGTCTGGAAGTCCAAGATCAAGGTGTTTGGTTTCTCCTGAAACCTCTCAGCTTGTAGTCACCCTCCTTCTCTATGTGACCTCACATGGTCTTTCCTCTGTGTGCATATGTCTGATGTCTCTCTTATAAGGACATCAGTCCTATTGGATTAGGGCCCTATCCTTATCACCTCACTTAAATGTAATTACCTCCCCGAAGGGCCTTCACCAAATACAGTCACATTGGGGGTTAGGGCTTCATCATAGCTTCAACATAATGAATTTGGTGGTAGAATGACAGAATCCACTCCATAACAGCCTTCTACCCCAAGTACTCATAAGAACTAAGGGGAATTTATTAGGCATCATTAACTCTAGTAGAAGTGCTACTTTGTATTATGCATCTGCCTGATCAGTCAGTGGTATTAATAAATTTTCTCTTTTAAGTAAACTCTACCCTCAACATGGGACTCCAACTCACGACCCTAAGATCAGGAGTCTCGTGCTCTACTGACTGAAGCAGCCAGGTGCCCCCAGTCAGTTGTATTATTAAGGAGCTTTTTTGGGAGAGGGCACGGGAGGAATACACAGATCTGTCTCTCTGGGATCTGTTTTCTTTCTCCCTCCCTTTCCCCCTCCCTTCCCAGTTCAGTTAGCCAACATATAGTATATCATTAGTTTCAGATGTGGAGTCAGTTATTCATCAGTTGCATATAACACCCAGTGCTCATCACATCACGTGCCCTCCTTAATGGCCATCACCTAGTTACCCCATCCACCCACCCAGCTCCCCTCCAGTAACCCTCAGTTTGCTTCCTAGAGTTAAGAGTCTCTCATGATTTGTCTCCCTCTCTGATTTCTTCCCATTCAGTTTTTCTGGGATCTGTTTTTAATCCAAAAGCATACGTGCCTTCTTCAGTCTTGTTTTTCTTCTTCGTGAGAACGCTATGACCCATAACTTAATAGATCTCAAAGATCTGTAGATTGTTTTGGATTTTCTACATAACCTCTGTGAATAATCAGTTTTATGTTTTCCTTCCTAATTCTTATACTTTCCAGGATCTCCAGTACAGTGATGAATAGAAGGGGCAATAGTGGTGTGTTTGTTCTATTGTCAGTCTAAATGTTTAAAGCTACCATGTATCAAATTTAAGGCAATTTCTATTTTTGGTTTGACACAGTTTTCTTCAGATGAACGAATGTTGAATTTTATCAAAAGTTCTTGCATGTGTTGAAATAAACTTAGGATTTTAAAAATTATTGTGTTACTACTTTAATTTTCAAATGACAGACCTTGTATTTCTGAACTAATCCCAGTTTGATCATGATAGGTTATCCTTTTCATATGTCACCCCTTTTGGTTTGCTGACATTTTGTTTAGGATTTTTGCATTTACGTTTCTGAGAGAGATGGGCTTCTTAATTTTCCTTTTTAGCTTTTGGATGACAGCATCAGTGAATGAGCTCTGAAGTGTTCTCTCTTTTATCCATTGTTATATTGGATTATTTCTTTCATAAATGATTGTTAGAATACTCCAGCAAAGCCATGTGGATCTGGCATTTTCTTTGTGAAAAGATACTTAATTATCCGTGGCAGTTCTTTAAAGAGATAGGGTGTTCTTCCTGGTTAGGTATATTTTTCGAAGAATTTCTCTATTCCACCTAAATTTGAAATGTATTGGAATAAAATTCAAAATAATAATGTTATTTTAACGTCTATAGGATCTAGTGGTAACCTCTATTCCCAATATTACACTTTTTAAAAAAAAAGATTGATTTTATAGAGTGAGATAGTGCCCGCAAGCTGGGCGAGAGGGAGAGAGAGAATCCACAAGCAGACTCCCCAGTTGAGCATGGAGCCCAGTGTGGGGCTTGATACCAGGACCCTGAGATCATGACCTGAGCTGAAACCAAGAGTTGGCCACTTAACCAACTGAAACACCCAAACGCCCCCCTGCCCTGCTACTGCCAATATTGCACTTTTAAAACGTCATGATCAGTATTGTCAGAGGCTTATTGATTTTTATTCTTTTTAAAAAATCACCTTGTGACTTATTGAATCTCTACATTTGTGTTCATTATTTTGCCTATTTCACTCTGTCATCACTTCTTTCCTTTGGTTAACTTATTACTCTTCTTGTAATAAATGTGGGGATTATTTCCCAGTCTTTTATTTTATTTTATTTTTTAAAAGATTTTAAGTGATCTCTACACCCAACGTGGGGCTCAGACTCACAACCCTGAGATCAAGAGTCACATGCTCTACCAACTGAGCCAACCAGGCACCCCTCCCAGTCTTCTTTTTAAAGTACATTTATTTATGCTATGAATATGCTATGAATTATTCTCAAGTGTTAACGTGAACATGAGTATAAGAGCATGTTATGGACTGAATTGTGGTCCCTCTTTACCTATTCATAAGTTGAAGCCTTAACCCCTAATGTAACTATTTGGAGATAAGGCCTTTAGGGAGGTAATTAAGATTAAATGACATCATAAGGGTGGGGCTCTGGTCCAGTAGGACTGGTATCATAAGTAGAGGAAGAGGCACCAGAGAGCACTTTTTCTCTCTGTGTAAGTATAAAGTGCATTCCTTATTTCTCAGTTATTTGGCAATTTCCTACTTACTTTTTCCCCTATGATTTCTAGATTGATTCTACTGTAAATCTGAATTACTCTAATACTTTGAAAATTGAGATTTGTTTATGGCTCAGTTAGATGGTCATATTGGTAAAAATTCCATGTGTGCGTGGAAAGAATGTTTATTCTGCATTTGGGGTGTACTATTATGTTTAAGTTAAGTTTGTTTAATTTTGTGTTTTTACTTTGTCTTCATTTATTATGGTTATGGATTTGACCATTTTTAGATTTATCAATATACTGTTGGTGAGTGTAAATTATTTTAACCTTTTTGGAAGGCCAATTTGTCACTGCTTATGTAAATAATTTTAATGTCCTTTGACACACTGATTTCATTTCTAGGAATTTCCAGAAACATTTAGCAACAAATGTAAAAGCATAGGGCGCCTGGGTGCCTCAGTTGGTTAAGCGACTGCCTTCAGCTCAGGTCATGATCCCAGGGTCCTGGGATCGAGTCCCACATCGGGCTCCCTGCTCTGCAGGGAGCCTGCTTCTCCCTCTCCCACTCCCCCTGCTTGTATTCCCTCTCTCGCTGTGTCTGTCTCTGTCAAATAAATAAATAAATAAAATCTTAAAAAAAAAAAATGTAAAAGCATAAATACAAGAATGCTTAGGGTAGGATAGTTGATAAATGCAAAAACTTAAGAAAACCAAATAGAGGACTGTTTAAAAGCCAATAGAGGACTGGTTAAATGGGGGTATACCCAGAAACTTTAATGTTATACAGACAATGAAGTTAATATATTTGTAGTGAAATGATAAAGGTATCCCTGGTATAGTAATGAAAATCAGAAAAAAAGATAAGGTTTTCTTTATGTGTTTGTTTTTTATGTATAAAATCTTCTGAAAGGAAAGGTAACAGTGGACACCCGAGGGAGTTAGATAATGGGGATAGACAATAAGGACTTCTTACCATGTGTTTGAACTTTTGAACCCATGTGAGCATGGGTTACTTAGAATAAAGAGCCTATTAAATAATAGCAGAAAGTAATTGCCACTTCATGTAACAAACAAAATACTATGTAGAATGAATTCCTGTAAAACACCCCAGGAATTTTATTAATCTTTGCCATATTTATTGTTGCATTCTCCTTTGCTCTTTTCTTTGTTCCTCTTCCCCAAATTAAAGTTGAATCTTTGGTCCGAGGTGTCTGGAATTAGGATAGACATAGCATTGGTGTTAAAGTAAACTAATTTTCTTGGAGGTGTTACATAGACAAATTTGTAATAAAAGATCTTTATTTCCTTTAGATTCCTGACATTCAAAACAACTGACTTTTAATACACTGCTACTACATCAAATCAACAATGAATTGGAATGCAAAACCAGAGAATGTCACCTTACCACCACAGTATCCTAAAAAGCAGTCATCTTTTTTGGAGCAGGCTTTAATAAATACACTTAACACAACATCTCAGAGTTCTTTAAACTATCCTGGAAGTAACCAAGAAGCATGTATGTTTCTTGGTAATTCAAATCCAGTTTCACAGCCACTGCTAAACATCAGAAATTATACAACTCCTCAGCAAATCCCTATTCCTGATATGCATAATGGGACACTTGTGGCCTCACAAACTTCAGTGGAAAGAATCACATATGCCAATGTTAAAGGATCCAAACAACTAAATCACAATTTGCAAATGTCTTCAGGAGTAACACAAAACATATGGTTGAACTCACCAATGAGGAATTCTGTGCTTTCTCATACAGGGGCAACTGTGTCCCATCAAACTGGTTTTGGAACTAATACACCTAATATACATGCACTACAGAATCCGTTTGTAACATCAGATTCCTATTCTATGCAACTACAAATGATCCCTTCTAATACTGCAAGAGTTCCTGTAACTTACCCAGGAGCCCCGAGACTTAACCCATCTTTATCAGAACGACAGGTTGATTGGGCACAACAGTATACATCCAGTGGACTGACTTACCCAGATTATAGACCACTTCCAAAGCAATACAGTTACCCATCACGAGGCTTTTTGCAAGATCCTGCTCTTCAGAAACAAAACCCTATGCCATCTACATCATTGCATATTAAAAATAGTCACCCTCCAGATTCTCCACGGACTTTACAGTCAAAGCAGACTGCAACCATACAGTCCTATCAATATGCAGTTACTCAAACTGACAAAAGACCTCCGCCTCCTCCTTATGACTGTAGATATGCAAGCCAGCCTTTGCAGAGTACTCAGCATGTTACTAAACAGGCTGCTGTGGACGTTCCTCAAATGCACTTACCTGAAATGAGGAAAGACTTCTCTAGAAGCTTTCAACAGCATTGGCAAAACCTTAATGAAACTGTCAGCACCGTTGGAAATTCCTGTAACTTGAAAGTAAATACCAATGTCACTCAGCCTTTTAATGAACCTGTTAGATCTTCTGTGGATGGTGTTCAGACCCTTGCTCAAAATAATCAAGAGAGAAGAATAGACTCTTGTGATCTTTCAAATCAAGTACTGGACACAAGCGCCACAAAAGAAAAGTTAGTGAGGGATATTAAAACATTAGTAGAAATAAAAAAGAAGTTTTCGGAACTTGCAAGGAAAATTAAAATTAATAAAAATCTTTTGATGGCAGCAGGTTGTATTAAAACAACTGATACCTCTTACAGTGAATTAGCTGCAAATTCTGAAATGTCTCTGAAACAAACTGCCCAAATCCAGTCTGGACCACAGGTGACCCTAGTGACTCCAGAGGATAAACCACCAACCATAATAGAATCTGGAAAAGAAACAAATAGAACACACAGTACAATAAATTCCAACATTCAGGACCTGAATTGGGGAAATTGTAACCAAGTGAATTCTGTTTTACTAAACTCTGTCTATTCAGAAAAGTTGCCAATGCCAGACCAGTTACATGATTTGAAAGTTAGGACTTCTTTAAAGGCATCAACTGTTGACATTACCCAGGCAACATTAAGTAAGGCCCAGATTTCATCAGGAAATGTCAATGTTGAACTAAACGTGCCAACAAATTCTGAAACAACTCCTGTTCCTCAGTCTACATCCTTTGAGGAATATGTTTCAAAATATCCAAATAAAAATACGCTAATTCTCAGTTTACTTACATGTAGAGATAAACCTCAGGAGAAATTATTAAAAAATGCTAGTGAAACTATTCAGGGTTCTAAACCACATAGTTTTGAAATTAACTCAAATAACCAAATCACCGGTAACCAACCAACTTTGAAAACCATGGAAACTCCAAGTACATGTAATATAAATGCCAAGGTTTTAGACAACTCGTTTTGCCTTGAGCATAAATCCTCAGCAAGTGGGGTATCTTCTAAAAGTGACAATCACTTTCCCATGGAATTGCTAGCAACATGTCTTTCTCTCTGGAAAAAGCAGCCTTCAGAACCTACAGAGGAAAAACAGTATAATGAGTCAAAAAACAGAACAGCAGTTGGAGTTTCAAAACCTGTGGAAACCTGTGGTAAGAGTCCATCTTCAGTTGTAGGAAATGCTCAGAATAAGATGATAAACACCTCACAAGAAACAACTTTGTCAATAGTAGTACAAAATTATGAATCTTCCAGTGCAACTGTTACAAAGGGAACAGAACTTCAGGTTGCTATAGTCTCACCCTTAATTCTTTCAGATGTCAAAACATTGTCTGCCAAAGGAATAACACCTGAAGCTGTATCTGAAACACTGTATCCAGTTATTAAGGAAGGCAGTGTTTGTAGCTTACAAAATCAGTTGGCAGAAGATACAAGTGTTACTGCTGCTCTGAAAGCTAATCTTAAGGAACCAGTAGCAGGTACCACAACAGACACAAAGATGTTCTCACCAATTCAGAAGGAAGAGCAAAGTGAGTCAACTAATTCAGAAGACATACCTAATAGCAATCAAGGAAAGCCTATCAAGTCAGAACCAGATACCCACTATTCTGTGAGTGAACAGCAAGTCTCATATAAGTCAAGAAACAGTGATCTTGTTAGTGGTGATATGTTACATATTGACAATATTTGTTCTCTTGTTGAAGGTGATACATCTTACAATTCCCAAATAGCAAAGATATTCAACTTGCCTCCTTTGAAAAGGGTTGAGCCACAGAAGTCTCTACCCAATCACAAAGTGATTACTAAGGGACAACAAAAAGAGCAAACAGACAGCCTCACTAAATATAAAGACTTTGGTTTTCAAAATGATAATTTTTTACAGTGCACAGATATTTCACGTAAAATAACTGATCAGGTAGAATCTCTTCAACCTCCAGAATCATCATCTTTGAAGTATGTTAAAGCAGATAGTGGAATTCTAGAGGAGAGCAACTTGGACCATATCACTAAAAAAAAAAGCATGGCTAATGATAGATGTTCATCGCCTGCTATTGAGCAGGATAGTTGTCCTCGGGAAGTTGATTCATCCTGCAATTACACTGCCCAGGATCCTGCAAGAAGTGAGATTCTCAGTGATAAGGCATCTGTCTTATACCTACACGATCAGCTGTCAGAACTTTTAAAAGAATTTCCCTATGGTATTGAAGCTGTGAACACACATGAAGGTTCTGTGGCCCAACAGAAAACAAACCAGATCTCGAAAGATCAAACTTGTGATAAAACTGGTTGCGACTCTAAGGGCTCAACAGACCAAATACAAATTACAATATTAAACTCAGAGCAAATGAAAGAATTATTTCCTGAACATGATAATCAACTCTGTGAGGTAGACAAGTTAACAGAACATCAGAAAGAAGAACCTGTAAAAAAAGAAGGGCACAGCCAGTGTGACCCACAAGCAGACACAGATGGAAAGACTGATGATAACTTAATGGATTCAGAGAAAGACGACGTTGGTTGCTGTGCATTGGGGTGGCTGTCTATGGTTTATGAAGGAGTACCCCAGTGTCAGTGTAATTCCATCAACAACTCAACTTCAAAGGAAGAAAAAGGGGAAAATCAGTGTTCTTCGAAGATCAATAGTTGTAAACAAGGAGAAAGAACTTCTGATAGAAATGACCCTGTTGGGTGTAATAGTCCTCTAAATAACAATCTGAAGATTCCTTTGACTTTGCCAGATATGAAAAACCATTTTCCTGAAATAGAGCAAGGCAAAAATAGAAATGATATGCCCAAAACAAAACAAAAGTCACTGAGGACAGAACAAGAACTATTAGGTCCGTTTTTATCTAAAGCTGATAAACTAGATTCCATGCAGTGTCACAAAAGAAAAGGAAAACTGCAGTTTCATGAGATAACTTTTCACACCAGTAATAAAATGACAAAATTTTCTCAAGAGAGCCTGCACCAGAAGTTCATGGCACAAAACTCACGTCCACTAAAAACAAAGGTGGGTTTTTTGACAAATAAAAAAGATCCACGTATGAAGAATGGTTCTTTGGTACAGTCAGTATCCCCAGAGAAAATAAAATTGAAAGCAGGTGGCTTGAGACAAAAAGTTTTGGAAAAAAGGAAGTTAGATGATGGGGGCATGCTTGATTCAAAGATAAAGAGGAAGAAATACGATAAACGAGAGCAGAATATAAGTGTGGCAGATGGTACCTTTAAATTATGTAATTTTTTGTCAATTCCAAATGAAAGATGTAGGGTTAAAGAAAAGACAGTATCAAATGTTAAGTCCTCAGTCTCCAAGGATAGTTCATCTAAAATTAATAGAGTTCTGACACCAAAGGAGTATTTGCAAAGGCAGAAGCACAAAGAAGCAATGGGTAGCAGCGCATCAAAGAAAAGCTATGTGAGGAATGTACCGTGTGATTCTCAATACGTGAAGTCCAGTAAACTTTCCATGCAAGTAGGGAGTTGTGAGAAATCAGATGAGAGCCCTAACAGCAGTGTACAGACTTCTAAAGAATCCTTAAATATTTGTTCAAGCCATGGTAAAAACCTCAAGATCCACCATTCTGAGGAGTCCAAAGTCTGCATTTCAAGGAATGTTAAGGGAATAGGTGGTGGAAAACAACCTGATAAAATGTGGATTGATAAAACCAAATTAGACAAAAATTTAAGCAGCATAAACAATGAAGTGGAATTCAGTCAAGTGTCTCACCAGTCAAAGGATCAAAGGAAACTGTATCTGAACAGAGTTGCATTTAAATGCACTGAGCGTGAGAGCATTTGTCTCACAAAATTAGACAGTTCACCCAGGAAGCTTACTAAAGAAGGGAGACCGGAAAATAAAGCTCAGAGCCTCTTACCTGTGAAAGATGCCACAGAAAAACCAAGCATGCTGGAATTTAAGTTATGTCCAGATGGACTGATTAAGAATACAAATTATGTTGATGACTGGAAGGATCTGCAGCCTTGTCCTAGGAAGGAGCAAGCTCCTGTGCAAGGTTTAGTATAATTTTTTTCATGGTGTCTGGAACATTGTCAGGCGTTGTAGGTGAACAAGTGGGTTAGCACTACTTAAGCCATCTGGGTAGCTAGCAAAGACTTAAATGCATTTGCCATTCATTGGTACTTGTTTTTCTAAGTCGATGGTTTGGGCAGTATTTGTTTTAAGTTTATCTCCCCTTTACTGTAAATTGTCCTCAATTTGTACTGATGACGAGGTATATAAAATTGTAAGGTTTGCCAAATACAGAGATTTCCTTTTGCACCAAGAAGCCTATATTATGAAAAATGTTCTTTGTGCTAAGTTTGAAAAGTGTTATATGTTACTTCAAATGTTTTGTTGATTCTCATTTGGACTTGTAATTTCAAAGCCCTGTGAATTTGAAGTTTTGGTCTAAATATGAGGAGATAATCGTTACATATTAGTGAAAACTTTTTATACATATGGAAATGGTTCGACTCATTGTCATCTTTAAAGTAGTTGGTGACTGTGTTACCACAAAAGTTAAAGCGCTACCATGTAATCTACTCTTGAAATGGGAGGACTGTGGAAGTAGTCTTGTCCAGTATTGTTACCAAAGCCAGAGCGTAAACATAACTGTCAGCTGCTGAATGATAGAATTTTCAGTGTAGTTTCAGGAAGGAAGGAGAAAATAGAGGACTAATTTTTTGTGATAGTAAGGAAACATTTAGGGGTTGTGGATAATACATATAAAACATTGCGTTGAGAAATTCAGATTGGAGAACTAAAAGATTTGAATGGCAATCTTAATTTCTTCTGTGATGTTGAGATGGTATCTGTTGGGGCACAAAGTTACGATATAAATATAAGGTACCTTTTCTTGAAAGGAGATAGGGATATATTATAGAGTATAAAATTCAGTTTGTAAAGTATCGGTGATTTCACTTGGCTATGTAAGTAGATCTTTGGAAACTGAGGCGTGGGTGTAACAAGAACATTAGAAGTGGGTGGGGGCAATGGGAATGACTTTCTCTGTCTCATGTGCCCTTCAGTACCTTGAGATTGGTTGATGTTCAGCCTAAGTGGGAGAAACATAATTCCATAGTGAAGGTAAACTTTTAAAGCAACTCCTTTTTCATTTATGAGATATTCAGGCACTTGAAATGGAAGAAAGCATTTTTTCAGATTTCTTTTTAGACTTGCGTTATATGTGAATATATTAATACCTTTTAAAGTCTGTTCTTTGCTTAGATGATTTTCCTTCATTATAGTACTAAAAGAGAGATGAATAGCCATTTCTAGAGATCTGAAAATGAATATTTAAATAGTTTCAGGAATAAAAAGTACAAAAGAAGACTGGTTAAGAGGTGTAACTGAGGAGAAAAGGATGCCAGAAGCCAGCCAAGAAATAGGTAAAACATCATCTATTTAAATTTTTATTTTATTAATTGGGCACTTGGTCATGTAGAAGCTGGATTATAGTTATGAAACTGTTGTGAAATTTTATTTTTATCCATATTTTTAGTGATTCAATATTTGTGTGTATGAGTGGTAGGAAGATATTTTTTGGTATTTTCTGTCATACTTTGGAGAGGGAAACCGTTCGTCTTAACAAAATATTTCTTATCATGAGTTAGGTAAGGGGTTGGCATACTTTTTTTCTATAGGACTAGATAGTAAATATTAGGTTTTGCAGATCATAAGGTCTCCTAAACACTCGTCTGTGACACTGTACTGAGAAAATGGCAGTAGAATAATAAATGAATATGGACTATGTTTCAATTAAGCTTTACCATATCGGGCTAGAGGCTGGGCTGGGGGGCCTGCAGGCCATGTCCTATTTGCCAGCCCTTGGGTTGGGTGATTTACAAGTAAATCCATTTAAGTCTCAAATCCAGGAAGACAGGGATGTCCCCATTTTATCAGTGGGAGGTTAGATCATTTGACTGAAATTCCATGACTAGTAACTGAATAGGCACTTGAACTGGGTCCCTTCTTTTCAAAGTTAATTAAGTGTGGAATTTGAATTATTTTGATAAGAGACTGAGCCTCCTAGTTAAAATTTATTTCTTTTTGCAGGGAATGGATTTGGGCTGAGGGCCAACCAGAAAGTATCTGATCTAATTAGTGGAATGATGTACTTGGTTTTTAGGGTTTTGCACTGAGAATTACAAGCTAGGGTTCAGGAGTTTTATCTTCATTTCGGTTAATTGAATATGCAAAGACCAGGGTTTAGAATTCCTTGAAATGGAGGGAAGCAGAAGTTCACCATAAGCAACAATAAAGAATCACATTTCTTTTTTTTAATTTTTTTTTTATTTTTTTATTAATCATCATACATTACATCATTAGTTTTTGATGTAGTGTTCCATGATTCATTGTTTGTGTACAACACCCAGTGCTCCATGCAGAACGTGCCCTCCTTAATACCCATCACCAGGCTAACCCATCCCCCCACCCCCCTCCTCTCTAGAACCCTCTTTCTCAGAGTCCATAGTCTCTCATGGTTCATCTCCCCCTCTGATGTCTCCCCCCCTTCATTCTTCTGCTCTTGCTATCTTTTTTTTTTTTTAAGAATCACATTTCTTAAAAGAGAGGAAGTGTGACAAAGTTGAGAAGAGAGCTTAAATACATAGGCCTGTAGAAACGGAGTCTACACATTAAAGGTGCATATAGGAAAACACTAAGGTGAATTGAAGACTCAAAGAAGGAAGAAATGCACTCTTAATCAGAAAAGGAAAACAGGTGAAAGAGGGGGAAATGAATTTTAAGAGTCCTGAGAGTAGAAAACACTTCTAAAGTTGGAACACAGGAATTTAAAAATGAGAAAGATGGAAATGGGCATGGAGATTGGGCAAGAAAGGTCCTTGGAAATAGGAGAGACATTACCTCCTAGAGAAGGTGAGAGGCATGATTGCAATCTGAATCTGAAAATACAGATGCCTGCACAGATTGACTAGGAAACACAGCCACAAATAGGATGAGCAATAAACTGAAGTTGAATGAACATCAATACTCAGAATCATGATGAAAAAAATACAAGTTGGGGCACAAGCTCAAGGAGATCTGAAGCAGGGTAGAGAAAAGCCAAGATACAAGTCACAACTCTGTCAGAAGTGTAAGATCAAATCACTAGGTTGTACCTGAAACTAATATAATATTGTATGTCAATTTTATTTCAATTAAAAAGTAAAGGCAAATAAAATGTACCTGTAATGCAAAAAAGCCTGATGAGATTCAGGGAAAGTATGAAAGACGGAACAAATACCAAGATGAAGAGGTGGACAATGTGAGCCAGCGTGAAGAGAGATAAAACAAATGTCATGAACTCCCAAACAGTTGAAAAGAAACTTACTTGATAGCAAAGATTAGAGTGTAGATGGAGCGAGTTGTGAAACTGTATCAAGTCAGGATAAGGTACAGAGAAGAGGAAGTAACAGAATCCAGTGGAAAATGACTTAGGGACTCATCTCAGGTATCAGTATTACTGACATCATAAAAGAAAGCTAATGAGGACGTACAAGAATTTGAATCATGTAAAGAACCAAGAGGACAGAATCCTTGCCAGAACAGCAGAGAAAGGTAAAACAAGACTATTCTCTAGAAAGGAATAGCTAGAGCAGGAATGGAAACCATGGGAATTCTGAATGGGGAAATGGCTACTGAGAAACAGAGGCACATCTAGAAATGCAAGAAGTAGGAAAAACTGGACCCATCAAAAAGATAATGAGACTAATGCAATGCTGAGATGGTCTAACAAAACAGAAAAACTACAGACATGTCTTAGAATACCTAATGTGTAGCAAGGCCAGAATATTAAAACTCTTTTCCATTCACTGGTTGGAACTGGCTGGTGTTTATGCTTTTTGTATTGCTAGTTTAGATAGCTGTTAAAAAGGTCACATTTATAATAGTGTGCAAATGATAGTAGAACAGAATAGCCCAGTGAAGATGGGATGAGATTAGAAAATAATCCCCAAAAGAGAGGCAAGATATCCTGTGTGTATAATTTACCATTCTATAGGTAAAAAGCCATAGTTTTTTGGGGTTTTTTGTTGTTTTTTTGTGGGCAGCAAAGCAATGTTTATTGAGTGATAGTACAGAGCTCCAGAAGAGGGAGGGGGCCCGAGAGGGTTGCCCAAAAAGCCATAGTTTATCAAACTCCTTGTTCTGATATTTTATCCCAAAGAAGAATGCAGGTTTTCCCTCTCCATTTCCATTGATTGTATATTGGTCACTAATACTGAGTAATAAAGTAAATAAAATTTCTGTTTCCTTAGATGATAATGTTTTGGCTAATTCAAGACTCTCCAAGAGAAGCTTCAGTGCAGATGGATTTGAGACACTACAAAATCCAGTAAAAGATTCAAAAGCAATGTTTCAAACCTACAAAAAGATGTATATGGAAAAGAGAAGCAGAAGCCTTGGTAGCAGTCCTTTAAAATAATTTTGAGGCTAATTTTTTTGATGGTTCTGTAATTGGCACCAGGAAATTTCTGCTATTTTCTGTTCAGAATATTTTGCTGGAAATGCTCAGAATTACCATGATAAAATCTCTCAAGAGAGTTTGGTTACCACTTAGGTTGTGTATGTCATTGAAATTACTTAATTAAAATGGCTTGAGGACCTTACCCATGGGTACCAGTCATAAGAAATAGATGGTATTTGTCAGGGAAACCGCAAGGTATTGAATTTTGACATTATTGAACAAAGTTTACCATTGTTTATTTTGAAATGCTAACTATCCATCCTGAGGGAGGGCTGTTCTCAGTTAAGTACTTGTTTACTTTAGCTGGGACTGTAAATATGTTTTTATTTCTAAAGCTTATTAGCAAAACTTATTTTTTAAAAATGCTCACTGTGAATGTCAAAGTATATTCTTAAGTATTTTATACCTAATTGTAAACATTGTCAGAAGTCTTGTTTTGTACTTGTTAAGTTGGACATAATTTTTGGATAATGTTTAAACATTCATTACTTTTCATACTTGAAATAAACATTTATTTTTAAAATATATATATATGAAATCATAATGGTTTGTATTTGATTTTCTGCCTCACAACAGGGCACATTTTAGAAGAGTTTTAAAAAGGAGCAGTTTTAGTTAAGCTGTTAGAAGTAAATATTTTCAGGTTGCATTCAGAAGAAGAGCAAACATTTTCCTAGAGTCAGGAAATTGCAAGAAAGCATGGAAGGCAAAATGTTTCTGGGTTTTACTTTATGGCTACTAGAAAAGTGTTGGTTATTTTCATAAAATCTCAATGCTATATGTACAGTTCATATTCATTTTAAAAAATACATTTCTGGGAGTAGGAAGAAATGGAAGTTTAATGAGAGTATAGTTTCAGTTTTGCTATTGTGTGGATATTCTTAATACTACTGACCTGTACACTTAAAAATCCTTAAGATAGTAACTTATGTGTACTTTATTACAAGTTTAAAAACTACATTCTGAAGACTTCAGACTTCAGAAGAGCGGGCTTCTCATAAAATACTAAGTAGCTGTGCTCATTTGACTGTTTGATGGTTTCGTGTCAATAAAAGATTCAGTTAGAAAAGCAATGGTTAGGAAAACTGCTAGCACCATAACACCAGTCAAGGCAATGGCTTCAAACTGTGATAGTCATTATATTGATCATTGTATTCTTTACTGCTGGAAACTCTCAGAATATTTTTTTAAAAGTCTTAATGTCTTTGATAAAATAATGAGACTTGCTAATATTATTAAATCTCAACCCTTGAGTATACATCTTTTAAATATCCTAAGTGATGAATAAGTACACAAATTTTGCATTTCAGAAGAATTTGAAGCAGAGATATACAAGCAATGATGGTACAATGGCCATTGAGGAAAAATGTAATTTTTTGACTTGTAAATTGAACTGGTCCCTTGGGACATCATTTTTACTTGAAGAAATCATTGACATTTTTCTCAACTATGTCATCCTGACTTTTCAAGGAAAATAAAAATATTTGTTGTCAATGCTAAAACTTGAGCTTCCGCAAGAAGTTAGGAAAACTTGTATCTGAGACCAAGTTTGATAGCATCCTACTACTAGCTCTCTGATGAGTTCATCAGGAATACTGATGAATGTAATTATTTAAAAAAGAATTTTTAAAGTAGGCTCCACACCGAACATGGGGCTGGAAGTCACAACCCTGAGATCAAGAGTCACATGCTAGTCTACCAGCAGCCAACCAGGTGCCTCTGAATGTAATTATTTTTTATGTATGCTAAAGTATGTCAATATTTGGAAGATCTGCATAACTTAGTGAACCAATATTTTCTGATGACCAGTGCAGTTGATAAGAGATCTACTCAGAATGCCAGGTAGACCAATGGATTTTAATATAAGAATGCAAAAAGATACCTGCCATATCAAGCTTCCCTGTTGGAACCAACCTTTTAGGAAACAACTGTCAGCTTTTGGTGCAGTAACAAAGAAGAATATATGTGATCTCAAAGAGCTGGAGGAACACTCTTATCCATGTAAAAAGCCATCTGTGTGTGTGAGATGGGATTTTCTTGATATACTTGAACCAAGACATAGCTCAACAACAGACTGAATGCACAAGTAGATAAGAGAGTCAACTGAGTTCTATGAAGTAGGACCTTAAAGAGATTTGCAAAAAAGGAAGAAAATGCTAGACTTTTCATGGATTATTTTTTTGATATATATTTTTCATTAAAATGCTATTTATAAACATGTAATGGAAACACTTGTAAAATGTTTGAATTTTTCATGGAATAAATACTGATAAATATCTCAATCCCACAGTTTTTAAAATGGTTAAATGCCTCTTAGAGTGGTTATAGTGGTGTGATTCAGGAGCAAGCCCAATTAGATGGATATGTTCACTCTTGCATTGTTGCAAGTACTTTTCCTAAATAATATAAAGCATTTGGTGTTGAATACAAGTAGTTAAATGTTGAGTTGGCTGTTATCATACTTTATTAATGTTTTCATGTTAGGTGTGGCTTTTACATGTTAAGGCTAGAACCTTATAGGTACCAGTGAATATTATTTTATGACCTTGAATTTCAAAGGGTATTTTCAGGACAAGGTGAGAGAAGCCTGCATAGACTACGAAGATTATTTTTAAAAAAGGGAAACCGGACTGACTCAGTCCATTAAGGACTCACCTCTTAAATCTCAGTTCAGGTCTTTATGTCAAGGTTGTCAGTTCAGGTCCCGTGTTGGGCTCCACATTGGTCATGGAGTCTTCTTAAAAAGTAATAATAGGGGCGCCTGGGTGGCTCAGTCATTACACGTCTGCCTTCAGCTCAGGTCATGATCCCAGGGTCCTGGGATCGAGCCCCACATCAGGCTCCCTGCTCAACAGGAAGCCTGCTTCTCCCTCTCCCACTCCCCCTGCTTCTGTTCCTGCTCTCACTATCTCTCTCTGTCAAATAAATAAATAAAATCTTTAAAAAAAAAAAAGTAAAAATAAAATTAGTAAAAAAAATCAGTCTTTTAGGTATTTGAGGTTCAGGACAGTAGTATGTAAAATATTCCTTTATGCATGATACAATGAAAGACAAACAGACCCTCAATGAAAGAAAGACCAATGAAATTCCCTCAGGAAGAAGGGAATTGAAAATAGAAGTAAGATGCAAGGGTGAAAGTTGAAAGAAATCAGTGGATGTTCATCTAAAGAATGACCACAGAACTAATTTTAAAGGAAAAATACAGTGAAAAATCCATCTGAATGGTAACACTTGACTAGCGTGTTACATATATCTTATTTCCTGGAGATGGAGATAAATTTGCAAATTGTAAATACCTATAATGTATGAAGCTTTGTGAAAAGTATGGTACTATTATAGAAGCTGCAAAGATGAGTAAAACAAGTTCTTAGGAATCTCCAATCTAGAAAATGAAAAGATGCAAGTGTCCAAATGTCAGTCAATACTCGTAAGAGGCATAAATGGGGAGGTGAAATGAGAGATAAAAAACAATTACTATAGGGGTGCCTGGGTGGCTCAGTTGTTAAGCGTCTGCCTTCGGCTCAGGTCATGATCGCAGGGTCTTGGGATTGAGCCCCACATCAGGCTCCCTGCTCGGTGGGAAGCCTGCTTCTCTCTCTCCCACTGCCCCTGCTTGCGTTCCCTCTCTTGCTGTGTCTCTGTCAAATAAATAAAATCTAAAAAAAAAAAAAATTACTATAGAAGTTTTCTTACTGACTTTAGAATGCCTTTTATTATCTTACCACAGCCAGGTTAATGCCTTCTCTTACCCATTTGTATCTAGATGAAAGTGGCCAAAACCAACTACTGGTCTTACCAACTCATTTTCATTTGAGTTTTTTTTCAAGAGAAGGGTCCAGAGAAAGGAGCACAAATAATGTGTTGTTATTATAATAGAAGCATAAATAATGTTGATTTGTTGTTAACTATTTCCATGTTTAAAGGAATGCATTCAAGGTTCATTTTCTTCTAACTCTAGATATTTAAAAATAGAATTTGGAAAAGTATTTGAAACTTACTATATTAAGTTTAGATTGCAGAGTAGGGATTATGGAATATGAATCAGGATTGCAGTGATCCTTTAGACTTAAATTGAGACTATCACATCAAAACAGCCATCAGGCCATCAGGACTCAAAAAGCCTCTGAAATATTGAAGAAAGCTTGAGATTGACCATCAGATTATTATGCTTCAAGATTGGGAAGGTGCCCTGAGAAGGGTGTGAATAACCTTTAAGAAAGCATTTTGAGGGAAGGTTAAGAATACAAGTTCGTAGTATTTTGATAGGCCTGTAATCCTAGTCAACATGCAGTAAATACAGGTAACCAGAAAGTAATCAACAAGCCTCGCTGTCCGATATGGTAACTGTTAGCCTTATGTATATGTGTTGAGCACTAGAATATAAAATGTACTAGACAGTTTGGATCTATGGTCTGGAGGAAGAGCCAATAAAACTTGATGGATTGGATAAGGGAGAACAAGAGGGGGGATTCTTGTTTCTGGATTGTGCCACTGAGGGGGTAGAGAGTTGGAAGTCTTTAGGCTGACCAGGAATTGATTTCTTTAAGCATGGGCCAGTTTCCATGGAGCTTTTACCTGGAGGTCAGCCTACAAGGCAACAGTCTTGAGTAAATTAACCCACACCTTTTAGTGGTTGAGTCAACCCAGCATAGTTTCTAGAGAGGAAGGGCCTCGTACTCAGGGCACCATTTTCCCAGACATCATTATTTTCAGAGCTGATATTTCAAGGTAAATTGTTTGTTGGGAGATTTTTTATTACTGATTCAGTTTCTTTGCTGGTTATGGGTCTGTTCAGATTTTCTAGTTCTTCCTGTTTCAGTTTTGGTAGTGTATATGTTTCTAGGAATGTATCCATTTCTTTCAGTTTGCCTAATTTGTTGGCATATAATTGTTCATAATATTCTCTTATAATTGAATTTCTGTGGTGTGCGTTGTGATCTTTCCTCTTTCATGATTTTATTTATTTGGATCCTTTTTTTTTTTTTTTAAGTCTGGCCAGGGGTTTATTAATTTTGTTAATTCTTTCAAAGAGCCAGCCCCTAGTTTCATTGATCTGTTCTACTGTTTAATTTCTGTATCATTTATTTCTATATCATCTAATCTTCTCCTGCTGGATTTAGGCTTTATTTGCTGTTCTTTTTCCAGCTTCTTTAGGTATAAGGTTAGGTTGTTTATTTGAGACTTTTCTTGCTTCTTGAGAAAGGCCCTGTATTGCTATATACTTCCCTCTTAGGACCGCCTTTGCTGCATCCCAAAGTTTTGGACTATTGTGTTTTTCATTTTCATTTGCTTCCATGTATATTTTATTTCTTCTTTAATTTAATTCTTTAATTCTTCTCTAATTTCCTGGTTGCCCATTTATTCTTTAGTAGCATGTTCTTTAACCTGCATGTATTTGTTGTCTTTCCAAATTTTTTCTTGTGATTCAAGTTTCATAGCACTGTGGTCTGAAACTATTCATGGTATGGTCTCAGTCTTTTTGTACTGGTTGAGGCCTGTTTTGTGACTCAGTATGTGATCCATTCTGGAAAATGTCCCATGTGTACTTGAAAAGAATGTGTATTCTGCTGCTTTAGGATGAAGTGTTCTGAATATACCTGGTAGATCTATCTGGTCCGGTGTGTCATTCAAAGCCTTGTTGATCTTCTGCTTAGATGATCTGTCCATTGCTGTGAGTGGGTTGTTAAAGTCTCCTACTACTATTGTATTATTATCAATGAGTTTCCTTAAGTTTGTTATTAATTGATTTATATATTTCGCTGCTCCCAAGTTAGGGGCATAAATATATACAATTGTTAAATCTTCTTCTTGGGTAGACTCCTTTGTTATGATACAGGGTCTTTCTTTATCTCTTATTACAGACTTTGTTTATAATCTAGTTTGTCTGATACAAGGATGGCTACTCCTGCTTTCTTTTGATGTCTACTAGCATGATAAATTGTTCTCCACCCCCTCACTTTCAATCTGGAGGTGTTTGGGGGTCTAAAATGAGTCTCTTGTAAGCAACATATAGATGGGTCTTGTTTTCTATCCAATCTGATACCCTGTGTCTTTTGATTGGAGCATTTAGTCCATTTACTTTCAGAGTAAGTATTGAAAGATACGAATTTAGTGCCATTGTATTATCTGTAAAGTCACTGTTGCTATAGCCTGTCCCTCTTCCTTCTAGTTTTTGTTGCTTTTGGTCTCTCTCTCCCGTTCAATATGTCCCCTTTAATATTTCTTGCAGAGCTGGTTTAGTGTTCACGAACTCCTTTAGTTTTTGTTTGTCTTGGAAACTGTCTCTCCTTCTATTCTGAATGACAGCCTTGCTAGATAAAGTATTCTTGGCTGCATGTTTTTCCCATTTAGCACATTAAATATTTCTTTCCACACCTTTCTGGCTTGCCAAGTTTCAGTGGACAGCCCTGCTGCTAGCTTCATGTGTCTAGCCTAGTAGATTAAAGACCTTTTGTCTGTATCTGCTTTTAGACTTCTCTTTTAATCTTTGTATTTTGCATGTTTCACTATGATATGTCATGGTGTCGACCTATTTTTGTTGATTTTGAGGGCAGTTCTCTGTGCCTCTTAGACTTGAATGCCTGTTTCCTTCCCCAGATTAGGGAAGTTCTCAGCTGTAATTTGTTCAAATAAACCATCTGTGCCTTTTTCCGCCTCTCTTCTTCTGGGACTTCTATGATGTGGAGATTATTTGATTATTTTGCTTTATGAAATTGCTGAGTTCCCTAAGTCTACCTTTGTGATCTAATAGTTTTCTTTCTTTCTTCTTTCAGCTTCATTATTTTCCATAATTTTACCTATTATCTTCTCTGCTTCTTCAGTCCTTGTGATTACATCCAGTTGGTTTTGCATCTCAGTTATAGCATTTTTTATTTTAGCCTGACTAGTTTTTAGGTCCTTATCTCTGCAGCAAGGGTTTCTCTGGTGTCTTCTATACTTTTCTCAAGCCCAGTTAGTGGTCTCATGACTACTAATTGTTCTAAATTCTTGTTCATATATATTGCTTATATCTGTTTTGAGCTTATCCATGGCTGTGATTTCTTCTTGACCTTTCTTTTGGGGAGAGTTCCTCCATCTTGTCATTTTGGGTAAGTTCCTGTCTTTTGCGTGTTATGAAAGCTTGTTATGTTTCCTGCACCTGGGAGTAATGCTATGTTAAAAAGGGGTCATTCTCTGTCCAGGGCCTGGCACTTCAGGAAGTGTTTTCGGTGTATGCTGTGTGCACTCTGCTGTTGTATTTTGGCTGCTCTTTCCCTCTGGTCAGGCCTCTGCAGAGTTCCTCCTTGCTTGCAGTGGAAGTATTTGGACCTTTAACTAGGTGTGCTTTGATTTGTTTGTTAAAATAAGCCTGGAAAAAAAGAAAAGGAAAGAAAAAGAAAAACCCGATCCAAAAAAAAAAGAGAAAAGGAAAAGGAACAACAACAAAAAAC